AATATCAATTTATGTAGAGTTGACTCCCTACTTTTGAGCTCTGGACCTACTTATCTTGAGAATCCACTCCTCTGTGTAAGATACATGTGTTTTTAATTTTAAAATGTTTTATTTAACAAATTGGTGATAATAGTACTCATATCACAGAGCTGTAGATTAGTTAATACACAGAGAGTGCTTCAAACGGTCCCTGGCACATAGTAAGAATTCAGTCACTGTGAGTTGTTTGTGGCAGTGGTTCTTATTATAAGAAATCAATTCAGGCCTAAGGTCTAGATTCCAGATTAGTAGAGAAGAAAGATAGTAGTAGTGCTAGCTATTCATCTGAATGTGTTATGTGATAATCAATTTTGTTTAGCTGGTTCCCTGAGTAGCATATTAAAGCAATCTTGAACAATGAGGGGACCTTGTTACTAGATTGCCATTAAGTGGTGATAGTAAGTAACCCTAAAAACAAAGTGATAGAAAATGGTCTCCTTTTTCTAAAACATTTAATTTGCTGTTTCTTCATCACATATCATCCTTTGTTACTTTCAAGGTCAGGGGGAGATGATTCTTCACACAAATTATCATCTGAAGCAGCTTGTTTATAATTGACAAATGAACTCTCTTTTCCTTCCCAGGAGGAACTTGTTAAAACCAATAAAGTTCAAAATTCTAATTCCCGTTCCTTACTAGTGTGCACCATTTTATTCATCTCGAATAAACATACAACCTCAAGCATCCTACTAGGCAAATAGATTCCTTTTTAATTAGTGGCTCTATACACAGAATTTTGTCATCGTGAAATTTATAAACCAAAAGGGAACAAATATTTACACTTGCAACTTCATGTCAACATTGCTCTGAAATGTAAATGTATCTCCCATGTTTCTGCTATGGCAGTAGGAAAATAAGCTTCAACTTCTTAGGAGAGTGTCTGCTCTGTTAGGTAGGGAATGTGGAAGATCTATATAAGTGTTCCTTCTTTGTGACTGGCATTACTTTTTTTCACACGAAGACTTGTTTTTTTTTTTAAAAGCTCACTTCTTACTGTTTTTTGTAGTACTGTTTTGTGGCATCTCTTAAGTACCAAGACAGAATTTTATTTTGAGGAGTTATTGCTTTTGTAGTTATCATACAGAATTATTTCTCAATTTAAGTAGACCTTTTATTCCAAGGCAAAATTAAGCCAACCACAAGTGTTTCTGGGAACAGAATAATGTAGAGCTAAGGCTTTGTGTGTCAGTATGGGCTGTCTAATGCTGTATAAAGGAAGATTTTAAATGATGCCTAAATATGTAATGGTTTAAAGATCCCAATTAAAATGAAAGAGCTAGTTAAAATGCATTGGGAAATAATTTAGAAAAGGGGGGATGATTTTGCCAAGATTTCAGAGATAAATAATTTTTTTCAAGGCTTTAGTGCAGTTTTGATCAAGCTGCATTAAGTGGCTCTGCCTAATTTCAGCCATTACATGATGGTTATACTTTGCCTGCATCCCAAAATGATTTTAGGTCCCTAAGGTTATTAAAATATATTTAGTATACTAATCTGTTTTTCAAGGCATCAAAAATAAGCTGAAGGAACAGATAAACCCTGTGTCTAGAATGAATTAATTTAGTTCTAAATATCCTAGAAGCTAAGGAGAAAAGAGGGTGATGTGGTTTTTAAGATTTTCATCCTCAGACAGGGAAGCATAGAAGAGAGAATTTTCCCCCTGATTTTTCTGAATTTAAAGGCAATTTATTTTGGATTCTAATCCTATATAGTCAACAATGAGTAACACCATTGACAGTCTTTCTTCCTACTCTTCTCTCTCCTCTTCCCCGAAAGGGAAATACCTGATTGTAAAAATAACGTGTGCTGTTTATATAAAAATTTCAGACAAGTCAGAAATACATGTATTGAAGTTTCCTTGAATGATGCTATTTCTCAGTTCACAGAAGGGGGTGACAGTAAATCATTACTCAATGGAGGTGTGTTTGTTTTATTTATTTACTCATTCATTTAATTTTAATTAGGCTCCATGCACAACATGGTGTTTGAACTCATGACCCTGAGAATAAGAGTCTCATGCCCTACAGACTGAACTAGCCAGGTGCCCCAATGGAGACATTTTTGTAAGGGGTTTTGATAATAAGTTTAGCAGACATTTATTGGGCGTCTCAGATTCGCTCGTGTTAGGAATATAGAAATGAGTAAGAGAACTCTTTCCCTTAAAAGGATTCATGGGGTTCACTTACAGTCAGTATTTCATCTGATATTCCATATTTATTCACTGAGTACCAATATGGGTATGGTAGGGTGTTCAGCTGGGGTCTAGTAGGGTGGGTGCATCAGTAACAAACCATACAGCTAATGCTAATGTGTACTGAGTGCCTGAGTTTGTAGTGAACGAATTACCTTGAGAGCACAAAGGAGGAGAATTTTGTTTTGTGGGGGAAGGCTTTGCAGAGGGAGGAACTTTTAGGTTGCAAGTTAGTATCAAAGTGCACCAGATAGCCCCAAAGTGGGAGGGCATTCTAGGCAGAGGGAACAGCAAGCCCAGAGTTTTGGAGGTGTGATCCAGATTGCATGTATGAGCAATGGTAAGTAGCGGACGGCGGAGCAGTGTATGGCTCAGGGAAGTGTGTGGGAGATGAAGCTGTGAAGATGGTAGAGTTGTGTCCAGGAAAAAAAAAAATTGGACCTTACTCTGTAAGTGGGCTTTTAAGAAGAGGAGGAAAGATTTATGTTTTAGGTACAAAACAGGTAGAAGCATGAAACATCGATTGTGGGATGGGGGATTGAGATGCTAAGTGAGGTAAGGGAGAACCGCTGTAGAGCAGTATCTGTGTGGGTTGAGAGGATGGATCAAAATGCAGACACGTTTCTCATTTAAATTGTGTGGGATGAGATCCAGGAGTCCGTGAGGGATGATGGTTGCGGAGGAGAGAACCGGTCTCTGGGAATACCGACATTCAAGGAGTAGTCGAGGAAGGGGGCCTGTTCGTTTTACTTCTCATTTTGTTCCCTTTAAGTAATAATTGTATTGGTAAGTATCTTTTTTAAAAATTAATTTTTAGGGGCGCCTGGGTGGCTCAGATGGTTAAGCGTCTGCCTTCGGCTCAGGTCATGATCCCGGGGTCCTGGGATCGAGTCCCACATCGGGCTCCCGGCTCAGCAGGGAGCCTGCTTCTCCCTCTGACCCTCTCCCCTCTCATGCTGTTTCTCTCTCGCTCGCTCTCTAAAAAATAAATAAAATCTTTAAAAAAAATTAATTTTTATTAAATATGAAAATTGCTACTCTCTCGGCCTGTTTCAGGGACCAAACCCACGATGTTGGCGTACCTGCCACATTCTAACTGAGCTAACTGGACACCAGCTAGCCCTCTGTGTCAGTAAATATCTTAACAGAAATTTTACTTCTAACCACATGATACCTCATTATCTAATACATACAGATCTTTAAGTCTTTAAGAGTAAATCCTCTTTACAGTACAATCAAACTTGTCTAAAAAGCTTTTTTTTTTTTTTTAAGAAATCATGATGAAGTTTTATGTACCACTGTGTAGCCTCCACATGCCCTCTCCTCATTTAGACTGAGTGATGAACCTTTCAGGGCTTTCTAGTCCATGCACCGCATCCCTGGGCCAGAGGCAGGGGAAGTCTTTGGGCTGATGCTAGATTTGGATACTGGCTCCTCCACCTTTGAACTCTAACTTTGGGCCTTCTACTTTATCTTGAAGTCACAGTCTTCTCATCTGCAAAGTGGAAAGATTAATATCTATCGAAGCTTCAAAAGAAAAGCATTTGTTGGTTCAAACCAGAATATCTCCAAGAAACTACCTGACATTTTGAAGAGGCCGTTTTGTGATTCACACCCGTTTCCTGACCATGGAAAACAAACTATTCACCTTTCAGCTTTTAAAAAATTACCCAGATGTATACCCAGCAAACACCCCTACCCCTTTCTGACCCAAGCCTTATTCATCCCTGAGCCTCCCCCCCCCC